TCTCCTGCCACCAATCACAGAGAACTCAGCTCCTGCCTGCAACCAATCAGAACTGAGAACCAACAGCTCCGAGTCATCATCAGTACACCCATACGCCTTACAAATATTGGCTGAATTTCGATGGCGATCGCGTTTTTCGTCCGATATTCGCCAGGTCGATGGGCGGCGTACAACTGCAAATGCTGTACAATCGTACGACTTCCCAGCAGGTTAGAAAACCGTCAAATCGCGCGACTTTCGCAAAGGTCGTTGGCGTTTTACGTGCGTCGCAAATTCGTACGATTAACACAACGCTGTCCCAGCTGAGGGCGCGTCGCCAGAAGCGACGACACTGGCCGGGGTGATAAGAATGACCGGTCTGACAGAACGCCGGCGTTCTATCGAAAAGCTCCAACTCGTCGAAATCTCCCAACTACCTCGCTGGCGCATACGCGCAGGTTGGAGATTTCGATGAGTTGGAGGTTTCGATAGAACACAGGCCTTGTGACAGCCATGAGCCAAGGCACTGATCAATGTTCCTCAGGAGCTGCCCCTATCCGAGTCTTCTCATTCGGGTCTTTTATGAGGGGTCAGCCCACTCAGAAAGTGATCCCGAAGAGCCGATTCATTTCAAGATCCGAACTTCCCGCCTCCGCCAGAAACCGCTCTGAGGTAAAAACTCACACATAAGGATCGACGAGAGGCCGGAAGTGATGTAATGTCCAGACAGGAAGTGGTTTTACGTAGAGACAGCGACTTCCGGGTGAGAGGTCATATGGCAGGAATTAGAGAGGAGACATTGCTGGGACTGGCAGCAGAGGAGGTAATGATATATTATGTTATATTTGCCTCTCATTCCTCCGCCATCGTGTTAATTTCGTCCTCCATAGTCCCTGTGACGTCTGTGATCTGATGCACACACATTAATGACGTATGGAAATGACTTATCTCCTTCTGTGGCTGTGACATCATTAGGTTTGCTGGAACTTGTGGTTCTGCAGCAATCAGCAGAGTGCATTCTGGGATATGGAATCTACAAGGACGGTGGGGGTTTCTGGCATCCATAGCCCTGGGGGGTGATACTTTTTCTTCAAGTGAAACCCGAAAACTCTTTGAGAATATAGAGGAGAGGCAGCCAGGGCGAAGGGCGTAAGGAGGCCGGCTATACAGGACTACAACGCCCAGCCATACATTGTATAGCAATGTACAAAGTAATATGAAGCTACACACTCTGTGTTGTTCTGGGTTGGTCTCCTGATGTCTCCAGATGGGCTGTGCGACTCCGGGGGAGCTGTGCGACTTTGAGGGGGGCTGTGCGGCTCTCAGG